TTAACTGGTGTTCCTTGTAGGCGTATGGATATTATTCTATCACTGACAGCATTGTACTTCAAGACAGATCTTGAAACACTCTTTGTGACAATGAATGCCACACCATTCCTCTTCAATTTGTCATTCCTGGCATAGTAGATCATATGGTTGTCTGATTCAAAATGGCCCAAACCAGTCCATTTCAGCTCATTAATGCCTAGGATATCAATCTTTATGCATTCCATTTCAGTTTTGACAACTTCCAATATTCCTAGATTCATACTTTGTACATTCATGTTCCAATTATTAATGGATGTTTGCATCTGTTTCTGGTCATTTTGAGTCATGCCACATCAGCCAATGGAGGTCCCAAAAGCTTTACTTTATCCATATCATTAAGGTTGTCTCTACTCGGACAAGTCAGCTCTTCCCCAGTCAAATTTTGAGTGTCTTGTGACCTGATGGGCTCATCTTCCAGCACTATGTCAGACAATGTTTCAGTGCTGTTCATAAAGTTTTCCATTAATATATCAGACAGCATTTCACTGCTATTCATAAAGTTCTCACTGACCAATTCTTTGAGAAGTGGAAGGTCTCTTCCTTCTTCCAAGTCTGTTTAAGCCTGGAAGCTTCACTGAAATCTGTCCACCATGGGTAACCCTGTTGGCCTTTTGTGAGCCTCCAGCCTCACAGCAACATGTAAGCCACCACAGGATGACAAACTGACAGACAAGTTCATCTCTCTTAGTTGTTCTTAACCCCTCTGCACCTGTCTACCTCAGGTCCTGGTCTTAATATAGAGCCACACCCAAACAAAAAGCAGCCTCCAAGCCCCAGGCTTGTCTACCTCAGGCTCTGGACTTAATATAGATCCACACCTAAGTGAAAAGCAGCCTCCAAGCCTCAGACCGACCTACCTCAGGGTCCTGCCTTAATATAGATCCACACCCAAGCAAAAAGCCTCCAACAACCAACCCACCTCCTTCAGTCCCTGGCCTTAATATAGAGCCATAACCAATTGAAAAGCAGCCTCCAAGACCCTGGTCTGCCTACATCAGGTCGCAGCCTTAATACAGAGCCACATACAAGTGAAATGCAGCCTCCAAAGCCCTAGCTTGAAACGTAGTACTATGTAAAAGCACTTACTGATGAAAATCAAGGGAGCTCTGGTGGCATAACGCCTAAGACATTTGATTACTAACCAGAAGCCTAGCAGTTCAAACTCACCAGCCACTTCTCGGAAGGAAGGTTGGGCAATCTACTTCCACAGTGATACCACCTCAGAAACCCAAGGAGGGGTCGTTATGAGTCAGATCCAACTCAATGGTAGTGAGTTTGTTTTTGATTTTTTGGATGAAACAAAGACTATAGCCTCCAGTATGGATTACACCTCAATGTAAAGAAGACAAAGATCCTCACAAATGGTACAATAAGCAACATTAAGACAAACGGAGAAAAGATGGATGTTGTGAGGATTTCATTGTACTTGGATCCAGAATCAGTATCCATGGAAACACCCATCAAGAAATCAGATGTCATACTGCACTGGGCAAATCTGCTGCAAAAGACCTCTTTAAAGTATTGAAGAATAAAGATGTCACTTTGAAGATTAAGGTGCTCCTGAACCAAGCCATGGTATTTTTCAACAGCCTTATATGTATATGAAAGCTGCACAATGAAGTAGGAAGACCAAAGAAAAATTGATGCATTTGAATTTTAGTGTTGACAAAGAATATTGAAAATATTATGGACTGCCAGAAGGAACAAATCTGCCTTAGAAAAGGTACAGTTGAAGTGCTCCTTAGAAGCAAGAATGATCAGACTTCATCTCTTGTACTTTGGTCATATTTTCAGAAAGGATAAGTCCCTAGAGAAGGATATCATGCTTGGTAAAGTATACGGTCAGAAATGGATTGATACAGTGGCTGCAATGATGGGCTCAAGCATAGCAAGGATTATGAGGATAGAGCAGGACCAGGCAATGTTTTGTTCTGTTGTACACAGAGTTGCTATGAGTCAGAACTGACTCAACAACACCTAACAACAGTACAGAAAAAAATTACAACAATAGAATGGCCATTTTGTATGATAGTAGAACATGAGGTAGCAGTTGGTTCCTAAAACTGAAAGCAGTTACCATGTGTGTGAGAGTAGAACTGCACTCCATAGAGTTTTCAATGGCTCATTTTTGGGGGGAAGATAATGAGCTCTTTCTTCTGAGGTGCCTCTGGATGGTCTCAAACCTCCAACCTTCAATTAACAGCTGAGCACATTAACCATTAACACCAGCCAGGGACTGTAGTTGGCTCTTAGTGTGCCCAAAATAGTTTATGTATATATAAATGCTCTCTCTATTTCTTTGTGATAATTTGTGGCCTACTGTTTATAATATCTCACCCATAATTCAGATTGCATACCTTCTTATAAAAGTCATGAAATATCTTGACCGATCTTTTTTATTTCTATGCCTTATCTTTCAAGCTTGACTAACATGTACTATGAAGAAATCTGTAATACTTCATCAGTCATTCCTAAGTCAAAAGGATGATTATAAGTAAGACAAACATTATCTCATATATTATAATTAATACCCACCAGTGATATATTAGGAGCTCTGGTGGCATAGTGCCTAAGGCATTTGACTGCTAACCAGAAGGCTGGCAGTTGAAACCCACCAGCCACTCCTCGGAAGGAGGATTAGGCAATCTACTTCCATAGTGATACTGCCTCAGAAACCAAAAGAGGGGTCTCTATGAGTTGGATCCGACTTGAAGACGGTAAGTTTTGGTTTTAGTGAAATATTACCACCACCATTACAACCATGTTTATAAAACTTCAAACCTGTTAAACCACCAGCCAGACTTATCCTCTTCTGCACAGTTCCCTTTATAGTTGTCATTATCTTTGTCCCATGTGCTGAATTTCATTCGTTGGTGACTAGCCCACCATTGAACTTCAGGATGAAAATTTCCTGCAAGGGAGTCTCCAGCTGTTCCAGAATATTCTCCAATATACAATTCATAGAAATTCTAAGGAAAAGAGGCAAATGCTACAATCAGTAATCATTATTTTTTAAAATGTGTTCATTTAATAATAATAGAATAGGCTGTACTGTATATTTTTATACAGTACACTGACTTCAGTGTTATATTGTACTTTTAAGCATTAATTCATGGTATTATTTATTTGACAATTTTTATTACCTTTTCATCTCCCACTTTGAAATGTTTATACTGTGCATAACGGCTATTTTTTTCAAAATCGGCAAGGTCAACTTTTAAAGTATATTCTCCTAAAAAAAAAAAAAAATTCAGTAAATTGTAGTTTCTTTCATGTATGACATGCCATTAACTATTGAGATTTAAAAACCATTCACAGATCTATTTTACTTTGACTACTTCTTTCTGTCAAGTCACTTTTCAAAGAACACACAGTGATTCCATTGCTTTTACAGCATAAATACCTTATTGTATATGTTACTTGAAAAAATTAGGGACATAATACTAAAGATAGATATTTCACTAGATCTATCACAGGTAAAACCAAACCCTGTCAAGTCTATTGTGACTCACGATGACGCTATGTGTTACAGAGTAGAACTGCTTCACGGGATTTTCTTCACTGTAATTTTACAGAAGGAGTTCTGGTGGCACAATGGTTACACACTTGACTGCTAACCGAAAGGTTAGTGGTTTGAACCCACCCAGTGGCTCTATAGAAGAAGGACCTGGCCAATCTGCTCCCATAAATATTACAACTTAGAAAACCCTTTAGGGCAGTTCTACTTTGTTACATAGAGTCATCATGAGTCAAAATTGACTCAATGGCACCTAACAGCAACAATTGCTACACAAACAGATTGCCAGGGCTTTCTTCTGGGTGGTTTCAGACCTCCAACCTTTCTGTAACCTGGAGATTATCATAGGTAAAGGCTAGCACGATTCACTTGGTAAAGAACAACAGAAAGCAGATCATTACAGTAAATAGATCAAGAATTCTAATAACGAAAGAAGAGTCAAAAGTTTAAAAGTTTTTTCTTAATTTTAAGAATCATGATCTTAAAAGTATGATTGAAATAGTTGTAGTCTTCAAGTAATCATATTCTCTCCACATCCCACAGTTTGCAAATAATGAAAGTTGCTCCTTAGCCTCCCCTTAGAATTAGGAATGTTCACACCAGCAGCACAGTCTTCCCACAGAAGGACAGACAAGGAAGAACCCTGAACATGGAAACAAGCGTAAGACTGAATTCTGGATTCCCTGTTACTGGACTGAGGCCTAGGAGGGGCTTATGGGCTCCTATTGGGTTCATTGCCTTGGCCCCATGGAACTCTTGAAAGTGGGGTTGCAAGAAAGAGACCTCTCAATCTGGATTTAAAGGCAGTAACAAAGACTATGAAATGAGTAAGAGCAATGGGGCAGGCTAAGACTACGTCCTAAAATAAATTTTCTGTTAGAGAAGAGATTCAAAGTCAATCTCAGTTCTTAGGTAACCATTGAAATACCTCTTTGATATAATAAATACAACAAATAAATAAAACTACAATTACAGACAATTTCTAAATTGATTTTATTGCAAGTACTTCAAGGCAAAATTTATGTAATAAGGATAAAGCTATTTTCAGAAGCATGTCTATAACATTAAGTGCTTTCATAATTAAAGAATACAGGGACAAAGGTGCTATCTTTTTCTTTAGTTGATGTAATATGTGGTTGTGAGGCCTAGAACTGATAAATATATTTTTTACTATCATGAGAATACCTAATCTGAACACCAAATGACAATATGAAGGGGGAGGTAGATTTATTGGCAAAGTATCCCTCAGAGAATAAGCACATGATAACAATTAGAAACATAGTAAGTTTTAATTTAGTTTATTTAGAAGGAGTCAAGAGTTGCCACCTGGGGGGTTTATAATTTCAGTAAAAAACTAGATAAATATTAATGTGCAAAAGAAACAGAAATTGATAAGATAAATGTAATATGTCTATCATAAAACATTTAAAATTCGGATAATAAATTTCTTGAAGTCAGAGAAATCTGATAAAAATTTAGAGGACTCTGATCACAAAAAGGAAAAGCAGAAAATATTTGGCTTCTAAAATTGCCTATTCATGCGAGGTGTTATTCTGGTGTCTTCAAAGAGCCCCTATCAGTATTATCCTAGTGCCTATTGTAAATATAGAAACATGGATAGTTTTCCTGAAGTTAGATCTTGTTTTTATACTTACTGCATTGGTGGAGTGATAAAGCCCACTTTTCCGGGCACTGCAATTGTTTTTCATAAGATATGCAGAATCAGACCTGAGTGAGACTGATTAAAATCTCAGACTACAGTTGGAGCAAAGCAAGCAGGCAATAGATTGGGGCAAAAGAACACAGAAAAGAGAAGCCTGGGAAATTTGTTTTCAAAATAATTATACTTTAAACAAATATTGAACTCTTGTTAGTGATATGCATATGCTATGGATTGAATTGTATCCCACTCACTCCCCCAAAAGTAAAGAGCTCTGGTGGCGTAGTGCCTAAGGCATTTGACTACTAACCAGAAGTCTGGCCTTTCAAACCCACCAGCCACTCCAAGGAAGGAAGATTGGACAATCTACTTCCATAAAGATTTGCCAACTCAGAAACCCAAAAGGGGTTGCTCTAAGTCAGAATCGACTCAATAGAACTAAGTTTGGATTGTTGGCCTCCAAAATTTATGTTGAAGTCCTAACACCTGCACCTGTAAATATGGCCCTGTTTGGAAAGAGAGATTTTCTTGTGTTATTTAATGAGTTCATATCAGAGTGGGGTAAGTTCAAAACTTAATTCCTTCTTAGTGGTGTCTTACAAGGGAGAGTGCAGGTACACAGGGTGTAGAGACATTGTGAGGAACTATCTATAAGCCAAGGAACACCTGGGGCTACTAACAAGGATGGATCCCCCTAGGACTCATGTCCTGATTTGGGTATCTAGCCTGCAAAACTGTGAGTCAATACATTTTTGTTCTTTAAAGCCAACCCATTTGTGGTATTTTTGTTACAGTAGAACTAAGTAACTAAGACAGCATGCAATCCATTATTGTAAAAGTTAAAGAAAGTTTTATCTATTGAAGGAAATTTTCTTTGTTGGTTACCAGGGGTGGGAGGGGAGGGAAGGGAATGCTGTTAGATAGATAGAGATAAGTATTGATTTGGGTGAAGAGAAGGGCAATGTACCAAAGGTGAGTGACCAATATGACAGCATTGAGGATGAGAAAGACATAGAGAGGTACATGGGAGGTACAGACAACAAATATGAACCCTTTTGCACATATAGTACTGCATTGTCAATTAAGGCAAATAGGTATATAGGTGGATAGATGGGTGGACAGGCTAAACAATTAGGTATGTCTATGAAATGGGGAGTGTATCCAAGAACATGTATAAGGTTGGCAGACAATGGTCCTATAAGTTTATGTGAATGATCAGAATTCCCAGGTGTATAGTAGAGCTGACAAGGGGCAAGGTTGTGGTCACTGCTTGGTCACAGCCAGCTACCCAGAGAGACCAAGTGGTTGAACCTGCAGGCTTGGGACCATAGTCACAGGGGACATCAAGCTCAATTGGCATAACATACTATACAAAATATTGTTCCACCTCCTACTTTGGCGAGTAGCAACTGGGATCTTAAAAGCTAGCAAGCTGCCATCTAGATGCAGCGATGGGTCTCTCCTCATCCAGAGCAAAGAAAAATGAAAAAAACCAAAATTCATGGAAATAATTAGTCCTAGCGACTGGTACACTGTCTGATCTGCAGCCTATATGACTATGAGACCAGAAGAACTAGATGGTGCCTGGTTACCACTGTTGTCTACTTGGAAGGGGATCTATGTAGGAGATCCTTGATAGAGAGGGAGAACAATGTGGAACAAAACTCAAAATCATTTGGAGGAAAAAAAGGGGGGGACCAGGTTTGCTGGTCCAATAGAGCCTGGTGGAACCACTGAGACTATAGCCCCTAGCTGCCCTTCGGATCTGGGATTGAACCCACATCTGTGGTTTCCAACCAAACAAAAGACAGGCATATGAGTTGAACATTTACCTCAAGTAGATACACTCCTTGGAGAGAACAATCATGGGAGAAAGAAGGGCTGCTTATGCACAGGGAGACAGCTCAGGGGGCAGGAGCCCATGGAGAGATGGACACTGGGAAGAGGTAACTGTGGGGAGGAGGCGGGAGGGGAGCTATTGCATTGTGGTAAACTGTGGTCAATGTCATGAGACAAAGTTTATGTGAAATGCTATATGGAAAGTGAATTTGCTCTGTAAATCTTCACCCAAATCACAATTCAAAAAAAAAAGACAGTGTGCAAAAATGTATAGGAGGATTTGTATAAATATTTGCAACTTACTTAAATGTGTCTAAAAAAATAAAATGGATGGATTGATAATGGATAGATGGATAGATACGTGATAAACCAAAAATAACCAAACTCACTGCCATCAAGTTGATTCTGACTCATAGCAACCCCCATTGGGTTTCTGAGGAGGCAAATCTTTATGGAAGTAGAGATTGCCAAGTCTTCCTCCCATGGAGTGGCTGGCAAGTTTGAACCATGAAACTTCTGGTTAGCAGTCATATGCCTTAGGCACTATGCCACCAGAGCTCCTTAGATATATAATAAAACCAGCATAAATGTCAGTTAAAATGCTAATGTAAACTCTAATTGACAGGTATATGAAGAAAACTTCTTTCAACTTTACTGTATGATTGAAATTTTTCGAAATGAAAAGTTGGGAGAGAAAAAAATAAAAGAAAGATATTTAGTATGTTACGGTATTTGATTACAAAAATGGCCTCAGTTCTCCACTTTTCTCTTTCCAACGCCCCTTGCAATGTTCATTTTCCTTCTCCCTTAAATCTGAGCTGGAAGAAGAGAGATCATGACGAGCAGATCTCAATTATTCCGTTAGATCTCTAACCTGAGGCCAACCTAGAGAAGCCAGCTGCCTTCCAACCAGGAAGTTGACTGCAGAAGCATGAGCAAGCCAGCCAAGATCAGCTAAGCCCAGCCCTAGTCAGCAGAACCACATCAACATGTTGTTGTGTTGTTGTTAGTTGCTGTCGAGTCAGTTCTGACTTATAGCAACCCTACATACAACAGAACAAAACACTGCTCAGTTCTGCACTATCCTCACAATCACTGCCACGTCAGCATGTAGATTTGTGAAAAATAATAAATGGTTGTTTTAAGCCACTAAATTTTGAAGTGGCTTGTTACATAGCATTATAGTGGCAATACACAACTGATACATAATACACACATACGTAAGTATATATAATCTTACAGCTCTCAATATATAAAAAAAAAGAATGATTATGACATTCATTTTTCCTTTCCAAAATAAAAAATATATGTGAGAAAACAAACTCTTCATCTCTCCTTCCCCCTCAACACAACTCTAGCAGGTCTACTTTCCTTTCCTCTATCCTTAATCTTAAGTAGTCATATTTTATAAAGGAGTTTATTGCCCCAAAGACATCATTGATATTTGTGAATTGTCATAGATACTGAATGAGTTCCATTATCTACAATCTAGTAAAAAAATTAATGAATTAGTGTTGTTTTGTTGTGTTTTAAATAAATTTGGCATCATGTAAAACTTACCTTGTATGGTCAATAAGTGAAGATTTTTATTACCAAGCCAATATTCACCATCTTTTTGGACAAAATTTCCAAAGCCATTTTCATAGTCATTCCAACCTCTTAAAAAAAAAAAAAATTCAAAGATATGGCTGATTTTCATAAAATCCAAAGGACATCTGCAGTTTCCCAAGGGCACACCCCCTATTGCCACTCCTATCCCCAATATTTTCTGAATTAGTTAAAGTATTCTTATTTAGCGAGTGTGGTAGTTAAGTTTTTGTCAACTTGGCTGAGGCTGGTTTTGTGTGACTGAGTAACTGGATGTAGTTATTCCCCATGATGAGGCTGGTAATCAACTCCATGGTGGAATCTACTAGAGCAGCTGAGTAGCTGCCTTGGGGATATGTTCTGCTTCCAGTATATAAGAAGAAGCATTGAGAAAGGTCTCTGGAGATTTTTGGCATGCTTGAACCCTGCATGTAGCCAAGCCATGTTCTGTGCTGATTTTAGGGTTTTTCCTGCACTTGAACCAGTGGCCTGCCATGTTTGATTATCTTGAGACTGTGCCATTGCACTGGTCAGCTTTGCATTTGTCAGCAGCTGCCTGAGTTAAGAGAAGCCTCCAGCTCCAGTGGGCCAGGAGCAAGAGGCCAAGCTGAAGCCCAAGGTCCAGAAGTCTTCATCCAGCCCCTAGAGCTGGCACTTTGAACTTGGACTTTGAGCCTCCTAAACTGTAAGAGAATAAATCCCTGTTTGTTAAAGGGTATTTTGTGGTATTTTTGTAGAGCAGCACTGTTGTTGTTACTGAAATCCAGGATAATTAATAGACATCTGGATGTACTATGAAGACTTAGCTTATTATATATCTCATATTTGCTACTCCAAATAAATCCTTATGTCATATTTAGTATACCTGTTAAAGTTCTCGCTGCCATCAGATCGTCTCTGAATTACAGTCCATCCTCCTCCATCAGACATGTCACAATAAACAGAAAATTCTTCCGGGCTCTGAAGGGGTTTTATTTTGTAAAATCCACTGCGTTTATACCCATCATTGAAGATCTCTGAGCAATCTGTTTGCAAAACAATGTAATGTACATTTGTTTTGTGCATTTCTTTAAAGGGAGCCTCTGAAGGAGTTTATTCAATACTAATGGATAGTGATAAACACATTATATAGATAACATATATATTATCATCTTAAAATTGCATCTGATACATGTTCCAGTGGGTAATAGGAAAGTCTTATTTCCTTTTCTGTTTTTTGTCATCTGACTCCTTTTTACAGATTGAATGATGTCCCCAAAAATTATGTGTTGTAAATTCTAACTTCTATGCCTGTAGTTTTAATCCTATTTGGGAATGGGTTGTCTTTGTTATTTAATTAGGTAGGATCAGTGTAGGTTGTGTAGGTTGTGAGAGCTCTGGTGGCATAGTGCCTAAGGCATTTGACTGCTAGCCAGAAGCCTGGCTGTTCAAACCCACCAGCCACTCCTCGAAAGGATGATTGAGCAATCTACTTCCGTAGAGATACTGCCTCAGAAACCCAAGGAGGGGTAGCTATAAGTTAAATCGACTTGATGGTAGTGAGTTTGGTTTGTTTTTTAGTGTAGGTTGTATGTTGAGTCAATCTCTTTTGAGAGAGAAAAGAGATTAAACAAACAAGCTAAGGAGAGATGGGTGAAGATAGATGCCAAGACACATGGAGATCTCCAAGGAACCAGGAAACAGAAGCTGAAAGAGACAAGGAACTTCCTCCAGAGTTGACAGAGAGAGGAAGACACCCCCTAGAGCCAGCACTCTGAGTTTGGACTGCTAGCCTCCTAAACTGTGAAAAAATAAATTTCTGTTCACTAAGGCCATCTACTTGTGGTATTTCTGTTATAGCAGCACTAAGTAGCTAAGACACTTCTTGATATGATCATGGGAAAAAGAAAGTAATATGGGAACTGGTTTCTCATTTCTTATTTTTGTGGAAAACAATCTTTAAAATTATATATATTATGTTAATTACAATGCATTTAAGTAGAATGTATTGGTTTGTCAGACAGAATAATGGAATGTATCTCTTCTACGAAGCTAAAAATAAAAGTAGAAATATAGCAACAAGCTAATAATTCTAAATAATTCTTGATTTCGAGCATTACAGGTCATTCTGAGGATCTGGAAATGAGCCAAAATAGAAATGTTCTTGATAGATTCTTATAACTTCCTACTCTGGCCACATATTTTACTAACCTACTGTAATTTATAACAGTGTTCACATTCTTAAATGTTTTTGCTAAGGACTACAATGTGCAAAGACCTGGAGTCTGAAAACCAAAAGGGAA